TTCATAGGTGTTGTCAGCGATGTCAGATACCGACAGGAAGGCGGTCCACATACCGAAAGGAAGGCGGGCCACACTACTGATGCAACCGGAAGTGCGCAAGCCAAAAGACGCGCAGCGTTGGCATCTGCTGCTCGGCGCTTGTCGGCGCAGGGTGTGCTTCTGGGCTCGCGTCATCACACCCCAACAAACAAGCCCAGTAGGCTTTCGACAGGCAACTCACCAGCCACGCGGCTTGGTACTGGAGCAAGCTGGCCAGGATGATGCTAGCGTAGGGGCCTAACTAAATACCTATACTATTTTGGAGGATTGCAATTATGGTATACTATACACCAAAACCCTATTCTAGCTATTAAGGCCCCTACACAAAACCCTTAGGATGTGCAACAGGGCGGCCGATACTCCGGCACGAACTCGTCTCAACTGAAGATGCCAATCCGACATCCGAGGCTCGCCTTGGTTTTTAGGGTTTAGGGTTAAATACACTAACATACGTGCATGATGTTAGTACACACACACATGTTTGACTATCCGATACTGTGCTATACCATACTAGACTAGACTATACCATACTATGAATGAGTTGCCGCGCAGGCTTCGACGAGTCCGCGGCTGCCGAGTGGTGCTGGAGGTTCTACAGCGAGCCTGTGCAAAGTACGGCTTCGCTTGGGTTCGGTGGGAAGACTTACAATGCCTGGAATAACCAGGCAACATCCCTCCATAATTTCAGAAGCATATACATACAGACAGAGCTAGCAGCTGAGAGTGCCGGCCAGCTTCGATTCTTGCCGACCGAAAATCTCAACGGCCTGGATCAACCTGTGCAGCCTTAGGACTGGCAGCCGCGACTCTTCAGCGAAGAGTGGATGGGGTGACTTGGCGGACCATGCAGTAATTGCTCACGAGGAAAAAACGCATCGTGTTGTCGTCACTGTACCGCTCTCGCAATTCGTCTTCTTGTTGTTCACTTTGAAACTATTACAAGTAGCCGTTGTCTCAGCAGCGGCGCTTTGCACAGTCCTATTTGCCGTCATCGCGAGGATTTGGTTCACTTCTTGCCGCTTCCTGCAGTACACCAATACCACTGCTCCACTTCTCCTGCCACTTCTGCTGCTGCCGCTGATGCTTTCTCATCAATACTGCGGCTGCGACATTTGTAAGCTTCCTATTTTGCCTGTAGTTGTTGTGACCAATACGTGTGTTACGCGAGCAGAAAGACCTGCCATGGGTCTGGCCCGCTTATACATATTCGCACATATATTCTCTACCATAAATTCAGGGTTCAAGCTAGGTGGTTACCGTTGTGTCAGTACTGTTGCTGTGGTTGTTGCTGTTGATCTGATGCTTGCTCCTGCTGCATTCGTGTTATCCAGGCAGTTCATGCGGTGAAATCATTCTGAAACTTGGTCATCAACACCATGAGCGGTAATTCACAAGCCAATTGCGATGGGCTTGCGAGCTATGCAAGGAGCTCCTTGAACGATGTGGGTGATGGGCACTCGATCGAGATTCCCAGCATGCATGGCGGAGTGTGCGGAACTGAGCTTTTGGCTTTTGCCTCGCGAAGAGCTTTAAGAGCTCCTGTGCGTTTTTCAGCGTAGGGTCACGCTCACGACAGCTTTGGAGCTCGTGGACTCCATTCGACCAGCTATGTCGTCCCCTAAACCCACAGTGTTTTGCACTCTGATTCTCACGCTTGCCATCCATTCGGATAGCGATGTGAGCTGTTCCCGTCTATCCTGACCCTAAACCCTAAACCCTAACCCTAAACCTATCCTGGCATCTGGTCGGAGATCTTCGACCTCGGCAGATCCCGAGTCAAGTTAGGACTTGAGCAGGCTTTGCTTGCGGTTGCTCTGAATTTAACACCCAGTAGTAGAGTAGGCAACCTTTAACCTTCTTTGGGTAGTATGGTCCCTATATAATCCCTTTTGCAACCAAAAAGGTTAAGCTTTAGTTCCCCATGATACCCGACAAGTAGGAACAGGGTCAAGGCTTTTGGCATTGAAGGGCCCGAGAGCATCAGGGACTTCAGTATGGGTTGCAACGCTGGTCGTTTTGGTCTCCGCCGCATTGGAAGCAGCACTGTTCAGCCTAAGCCATAAACTCGCACACAGACCATCCGTTTCCCGACGAGGTATCCCGGCGTCATCCCAAAGGCACTCGAGATGATGGCGGCCCTTTTCGGGCGCTCTGGCACCAGGGTAGTTAATGCAGATTTTGCGTGGGTGTGCTTGAATGCTTGCTGTCAATGCGTCATTTCATTCAAGATGCGACCCTAGCAACCAAGTTCCACTGTGGCTCGTTGCAATCTCCAACATATAAGGCTGGGGGCAACAGCATCCAAGAATTAGCAAGACTACCAACGGCAGCGATAATGCTTACAACAACCGGCATCGTCGCATCAAAATCTCAATGCACCAAACTAGTAGTCGTCGTCGGCGTCGTTGCAATAAACTGCACTACTGATACTACTTGTACGGAAATAGTCATGGTGGCGGCGGTGGTGGTGGTGGTGGTGGTGGTGGTGGTGGTGGTGGTGGTGGTGGTGGTGGTGGTGGTGGTGGTGGTGGTGGTGGTGGTGGTGGTGGTGGTGGTGGTGGTGGTGGTGGTGGTGGTGGTGGTGGTGGTGGTGGTCGGCGTCGTCGGTGCCGATTCGCCGTCGTCGTAAAGTACTTGTGCTACGACTACTGTGGTCGTCGTCATCGTCGTGGTAAAGAGAAAAGAACTAACACTAGTACTAGAACGAGCACAAGCACTAGCACTGGCAGTAGTAGTAGTAGTAGTCGTCGTCGTCGTAGTAGTAGCAGGAGTAGTAGTAGAAGTAGTAGTAGTCGTCGTCGTCGTCGTAGTTGGAGTTGGAGTTGGAGTAGGAGTAGCAGTAGCAGTAGCAGTAGCAGTAGCAGCAGTAGCAGTAGCAGTAGCAGTAGCAGTAGCAGTAGCAGTAGTAATAGCAGCAGTAGTCGTCGTGGTAGTAGTAGCAGCAGCAGCTACCGTAGGGTAATTAGACGACTCGGCCGCCATGATGAGTTACGCCGTTTGGTGACACAGGAAGGGCTACATGCTCAAGAAGGGCTTCTGCGACAACGAGCAGGCTGTCTTGTGTTCAAGTTGTCCCGTTTTGTTGGGAGTAGACAAACTGTTTCACAGATCTCTGGTTGCAGTGACGACAGGATTTCTGTCATAGTATCAGTCAAGCCTATGCACAGCTCCGCTCAGAAGAGGGTTCATTCCAGCAGCAACTGTGCTCTCCGAAACCACCCCAAGGGCTGGGGAGTCCCAGAGCCCCAAGGCAGAGGGCCCCAACACAGCGCATCGCTGTCGTCCTGGCACAGTAGTCGCAGTAGCACTAGCAGTAGCAGTCGCGGTCGTCGTCGATGTAGTGGTAGTGGCTCCGGCGGCGCAGCGGCAGTGGCATCAGTAGTCGTCGCCGCCGAGGTAGTAGTATCACTCGGCATCGTCGCAATCGTCTTGTCGTCACAGTAAAAGTAGCAGGCTAGTGGGCTGGCTATGTCTCAACTTGTCGATGCTATCAACGAGCAGCAGTTGCACTGGAGTGAAGTGGTACGCATCCACGTTTCGAATGGTAATGTTGCGTTGATCATGACCATTGCCATTACTAGCAGTGTGCAGTGACAAGTCTGGGTTTGAGATCAGCATAGAGTAGCTGGTATCGATGTTGTGGCAGTGCTCAAAGCTGCAGAGACGTTGAGAAGGACACGGCCCTGAGCAAGGACAACCTCGCAACAGCAGCTTGGACTTGCCCGGATGAGGAGTCGGAGTTGAAGCTTTCCACACCATTCATTGCAGCTCTCATTTTTGGAGTAGTGGACAAGCGCCTGCTCCGGTGATTAAGCTGCTGCACTTTTGGGACCCATGCAGATCTTATGCCCTGTCCGATCCTGCTGTGGTATGCTGCGTTCGATACACTTTTGTAGATGTTGCTCACACATGATTTTCCATTGTCAGCAAGGGGCTGTTGAGTCACCTCAGATTTACCAGATATAAAGTTCCCACTTGAACTGAGACCCTGGGCTTCGCATCCTTCCACGAAGTCTTAACCTTACCCCTAAGCACTTAGCTCTCTCAACCCTGGTACTCTAAACCCGGTCCAGCGAGAAGTTGAATCAATGTTCGTGCTGATCTCAATATTGGTAGTAGCATTCATACTAACATTATTATGATGGGCTGGTAACATTGGAAGTAAGGCTTGGAAACGTAAGATGAGCTTCGAACGTCCAGGCATGCCCTGAACCCTAAGCCCTACGTAAAACTCTAGTTAGACCCTGTACCCTAAACCCAAATGAGCTCAAAAAGCCCCAGGACCCTAAGCCCTAAACCCCTAAGCCCTAAGAACCTAAACCCTACCCTCAACCCCAAGACCAAAAGCCCTGTTTGGGAGTGCTCAGGTTGGCGAAAGCAACCCCGAACCGGTCGGCCCGAGTGGCAAGGCAGCGTCCCTTTCTGAACGAAGCCACTTGGATCAACAAATTCATGCGGCCAGGTTATTCTCGTATAAGATATAAGTGCATTTAATATAGCTATGGTAGAATGTTCTTCTAGTATAAGACATAAATACATTTAATATAGCTAGAAGTAGATATAGGCATCCAATGCCGTATAGTCTAACTCAATAGAGTGTTTACGGTATCATGGACCTACCTAAACCATAAACCCTGAACCCCTTAAACCCCTGAGAGCGGTAGCAGCTGTAGCTATCAAAGGTCTAGCTCGTAGGCGCGGGAGCGACGGCCGACCAGCTTATGGCAAGGGCTCGGACTAGGCAGAGCTACAAACCCGGCTGGCAGGCCTCCAAGGCCCCTTTTGATCCGCACTGCAAGCTGCCGGCGCGAAGATCCTGAAAGCGTCAGAGAGACACAAGTTCTTTGAACTTTCATGCCCCATTCCCCGAAAACCACGGATGAGAGTTCTTCTGACTCTCGGGACTGCTTCTGCTGATCTTGTTCGAAACAAACGCTCTTAGTTTTGGATTTCCCACATGACTACTCAAGAGGTTGTAAGCCACAGTCCTTCCGACGCTTCGCCGACATCATTGATTCATCCTCCACCAATCGCCACCTGTGACGCATCTTGTAGTAGAGGTCGTATTCCCGCTGGCCTCCATGCTTCGTCAAGCTGTTGGCAAGTTGTGCTTCGCTGTGTACCCATCGCACCTGTAGCCCAGTCCGTAACTGAGCTTCTTTCAAGGAAAGCATCTCGATGCTCGTCCTCTTCTCTGCCCCTTTGACCACCATCACCTCCGTCTCCAACTTGTCATAGACATTGCGACTGTCTGTCACCAGACAGCCTCTTGTCCTTGAGACTGTAGCCGACGGATCCTGGAGGTCTGGCGTCCCGTACATCAACTCGCTCCATTGATGACGTACTGCAAGCAAGGTGTCCTCCCCATTCACTGCAGCCTGTGCTTCTGCAGCCCCTGGTGATCTGCAGGCCCTGTCGATTTTCTGTGAAGACCAACTGACAGGGCTGACTCCACAGACATTTCCAGTGAGCATTTCCTTCGGAGTGGCGCCGATGAAGATTCCCTGAGTTGAGCCGCCATCGCACCTGTTGCCATTCGCAGCATCGACCCTTCCAATGAAGACTATGTCATCCTCGGGCTTGAACGCATGGATCCTCATGTGGTAGTTCTGCTTCGCTTTGGCGTGGCTCAAGAGGATGTTCGACTGGATGATGGTCTCCACCGTACTTCTGGAAACCTCGGTTAGGAGTAAACTAACGGCAGCAGCCAAGTAGGGAGCCACCTGCTGGGCGTGCCAGCTGATTCCTCCTAGCAGCGCCCGTAGTTGCGTTTTCTCCTTGTCGGTTGTGGGGTCTTGGCGGTTCTTCCTACGGGAGGCATTCACGGAGATTTCATGGAGGTTTTCAAGATACGTAGGTTGGGAAAGCTCAAACCCTTCGCTGGTCTGTTGAACTACGACTCCACACTGAGTGAACTTCCCTTCTTCCCAGTCTCCCCATTTAAACTTCTCCTTAATCGCCTGAATGACCCTTTCCCAGGATGCGTCCCCTGTTTTCCCGGCAAACAGAAAATCGTCTACGTGCCCACAGATGATGCCTTTGAGCACTCCCTGTTCTCGGAGTACCCAGCAACAGGCATCTGACCAACATCTTTGTAGCCCTAACTCGTTGAGAAATGAATCAACAGACCTGTACCACTCCAGTGGCGCGTCCACCAATCCGTAGCAGGCCTTTTGGACCTTTGTGATGGTCCCTGCTTCCACACCTAAGGCTTCGCAGATTTCTGGACATGGAATACAGTAAAGGTTGTCAGGATACTGTCGGCTCTGTAAGAAAGCCCCTGTCACGTCTCCTTTCTGAACCTTCCATCGTTTCCATGCGGCCATCTGTAAAACCAACTGTCTTGTCTGACGAGTCATGACAGGAGATGTGGTAGCACGATGTTCATAGCTTCCATCTTGGTAGCCTAATAAGACAGCACGAGCTTTTGGTTTTCTCGTGCCATCCTCTTTCAGCTTCCATGTCAGGATCCACCGCATCCCAATCGCCTGATTTTTGCTGGGCCTCAAGTGATCCGGTATCAACTCGAATGCTTTTGCCGCCACGAAATTCTTGACCTCTGTAGCCTTAGCGCCCTTGAATGCCTCCAACTCTTGAGCTGTCATTCTCTTCTCTGATAGTTCCACTGCTCTCCTTTTCATGCTTCCCACGAAGTAGGCACCCAGATTGCGCCATGCTTTCTCCCGGCCTCGGTGGCTGTCCGGAAGAGGAATCTCAATCTCGACGGCCGACTTTTCATCTGCCCAGTAGCTGGCCTCTTGGGTGGGCCATCGCATGCTTGGCACATCACTCCACCAGGCGGCTGGTTGCTCGAACACTGAGCTCGCTTCTTGACTTCCACGAGGTCCTCGGCTGCGGGAGCGCTCCCGCAGTGCCGGACCCTGGTCCTGTGCTTCTTCCGGAGGCTGTTGTTCCATCTCCTCATCATCAGCAGGGTCTCGTTGGTGTAGTCCCCGTTTAGTGCGTATGCGGTGTCGCACTGGTTGAACTTCTTCCTCCGGCTGTTGTGCTCGGCGCCATTCTTCCAGGTCAGGTTGAGCACTGATGTCCTCAAAACGATTCCCGCCTATCTCTTGGGCCACTGTTTGGAACGTCCATGGCGTCTGCCGCTGGTGGGTGTCCGAAAGCGACTCCACAAGCTCCTCTCTTTGGGAAGCTCGCCGCAGTTGTTCAGGACTGCACTTGAGGAGGCTTCTCCCCTTAACTAACCAGATCGCGCCCCCTGGTCTCAGGGAGCTGTCTGGCTCTTTACGACTCTCGACTGCCAGGACTCGTGCCGGTCCCAGGAACCGGCCGTGTTTACCACCTGGTTGGCGGCGGCCTTTTGTCGCATCTTGACATCGCCAGTAAAACACCAGTTCTCCTGGTTGATAATCATAGCAGGGTCTGTGTCTGGAGTGAGTGGCCCTCAGTAGCCGTTGATTCGCGTTCCACTCACACAAAGCCTTCTCAGCCTCTGCTCGCAACTTCACTGAGCGGGAAAACTCGCCTTGGGCACTTTCGCACAACAGTCCCGGTGGCACGGCATCACAGGAGGCTACGAAACGACCAGTCTCATCAGGAGCTTGCCCTAACACATGTTGGGCCGGAGAGTAGCCTCGGATCAGCTCGCGATGGTTGAAGGAGGCCACGGCTTCCGACAGAGCTTCAGTCGTAGATATCTCAGTATCGTACAAACACAGCTTGTGCATGACTTCTTTAAGACCCTTGATCGCATTCTCAACCGTGCCTATCTTCCAATGGGCCTCACCCGGAACTATGTCCAAGAAAATCTGATGCTTGTCACACCACTCTTCAATCGCATGGCTTCTGAAGGCCCCAGCAGGATCCAACCTCAAACACCTAGGATGACCGAAGTACTGAACCCATCCCTCCTGCAAATACTCAATACATGTCGCGGCGTTTGGGCTTTGTCTAGACCCACTGCTCAACACACGTGCCGTTCCATATCTAGAACCCTCATCAATCACCACCATAAATTGCACGCTTTCCTGGGAGTGGGGATGAGTAAAATGCCCTATGTCCGCGCAGATGGTCGAGAGCTTTGGGGGCAAGGGTTCCAAGGTAGCCAAGTTACGGGCCGCAGGTCTACGCTTTTCTTGACACACAGGGCACTGGAATTCCTCTGCTAATCGAATCACTCGTTCATCCACACCCCGTCTTTTCAGGGCCTGAATCATGTGCCTAGGGTGACTGTGTCCCGTCGCGCAATGCAGGAGATAGAGCTGTTTCTTGATTCGTTCATCCTGAGGAATGGGCCTTCTATCTGGGTTCTGGTGTTCCGCAGGGTAAGCTTCTTGGGGCCTGGGTTTTGGAACAGGAAAACCCAACTGCTTCAACTCCGAAATCCTGCCCGCCTCAAGCTTGTCCAAGCCTCGACTCACAAAGACCGTCAAGACCCATCTATCACCCTGCCACGCACAGCTTCCATGCCACGACTTAGGATCGAACAGCACAGGTTTCAACCGAATGTCGAACTCGCAACCCGAAACCTCCTCACCTTGAGCATTGACCCTCGCAGTCACGCGACCCTTCCTTCCACACACTGACTGTTGTCCCTCTATCCACAAACCCCCTCCCGTATAATCTCCGAAACCCACACTTCCGTTCGGGAAAGCAGCATCGTTGTTGATGTCTCGGTGTACCGGGAGGCAGCTACCATGGTTCAGGACGAAAGAAGACCATTGCATGTCGGAGGGCATACATTCTCGGAGGATTTGGTTGATGTACCTACACAGGTTCGGGAAGGCCTCGGTCCTTTTGGTCACTCCATACTGACTACCATAAGCGTAGGTTCCAAAGAGAATGTAGTCGTTTGGGCTGTTCTGGTTGCGGCGGGACCTACCAGTGTTCCGAAGGGGATATTGTTCAAGGAGTCTCTGGAGGCTTGGGAGGTCTGAGGCACCAGGTTGTTTGCTCAGGCTTCGGGCTTGCTGTTCTAAGTGGTTTTGTTGGTTTTGGCTCATCAGGGCTTCTCCTGTTTCTTCGTCCTGTTGGGTTTGCACCACGCAACTACTGCACGGTCGGTCGCTGTCACTCTTGCAACTACAGCACAACCCCAAACCGAAGCCCTCGGGCAAACACGACTCACCGGAACATTCCTGAAGGATCCCAGCGCACTCAGCCTCTTTGCTCAAAGCCTCATAAACCAACCTTCCGAATTCCGAAGTATACCTGGAAGATTCCCTCGAACTGCTTCCCTCGCACTTAGCATGTCTGTAGTTCGGAACGCACCTACAAGGCCTGTGAAGCTTATCCGCCAATCTCGCATGACTAGTCACCAACCGCCATCCCTTCTGCATCAACTGACCATCTCGACCTCGAAGACCCACGGAACAACCCTTAACCACGCAGGTGTGAAGGTTCATGTGCAACCGTAACTTCTGAAGGATGGGGAGCCTCCAAGCTTCGGATCTCTCGGACAACTCCACAGTCACATGAATGCCCAGTTGCACACACACTCGGGTTATTTCCACAGTGCTTTCGTAAATCTTGGTGGCGTGGGCCCTCTTGGCCTTGAGTTCTTGGATTTGACTGGGGGTCTTTTGGTTGATACTCTGCAAGGGAGAAAACGGGCCGCTAGGAGGTGACAACCAAACGTGCTTAGGCTTTAAGGTTCTAACTTGCTCCAACACAGTAGCTAGACCCCCTGGGGTTGATAGATCGTGTCCGCACCAGAGCGAACATCTACACGCGCTGTCAGGGCGTCCCGTCCTTGCTTGGAAGGTCTGGGACAGAATGCTGTCTGGCTCGCACATGATTTCAAGAAGCTCCGGTCTCTCGAACCCCACAAGACCCTCAAAAGCATCCGGAATCAGATTCTGGGCCCTTTGATCAAGAACCCTGGAAGCCTGAAGACTCAGCGGGAGTCCTGCTTGGTGGCCATTTCCGCATCCTTGGCCACGATCTTGCGTGGCTTCTCGCCCTTCTCCTCCTTCATCGACTTGACCTCTTGGGCCAACTGAGCCACGATCATCGTCAGGTTCTTGACCGTCTCCTCGGAAGCCATCATCGATCCCGCACTGTTGGCACCCTCCACTTCCGTTGGATATCCTTTGGTCGCCATTGGTGGCGTCTTGCTCTTCGCCTTCGGCAGGATCGTCTTCTTGTGGTCCGCAGCAACCTCGCCCTTGACAGGCTCCTCGAAATCGGCATAGTCCTCCACCCATCTCACGAAGCGCTGTAGGTAGACCGAGCTTTGGCCTTCGTGGGCTGTCTGCTTGGCCCATTCGGTGTACTTTGGCTCGTCCTCGAGTACCTGGCGGTATGTTCGGCTCGAGAACTTCCCAAACCCCATGAGCTCTCGTCCCACTGGGGTCACAGAGCCCAGCAGTTGGTCCATGACCTTGCGCTGCAAGGTCCCGATTGTGTCGTTCGTGGTGGCACGGATCCCGTAGTTCTCCTCGGCATACTTGATCAGGACCCCCTTCTTCTTGCTCGCCTGGTTCAAGGCTGTGGTGGCCACCTGCAGCGGCGTCTTGTTGCGAGACGCCGGTGTTGGGAGTTCGACCTCGCCGCTGTTCACGAGGTCCTGGATCCGTTGGCGAAGTTCCACCTTTCCCCAAGCGCGGGGAGGCTCCTCGCCATAGCCCCTGAGGAACAACACCAATTCGGGCTTGTTCCACGAGTCCATGTTCACCGTCACCGACACAATCTGCTGGGGCGTTAGGTGCTGAGCCAAGGTTGTCACGTTCACGATCTGCCACTAAGCACTCGTCACTGCACTTGACTGCTGGAGGACATGTCTGTGTCGGCTTCTCACCCTCTGGCAAATCATGTGAGAGATCTAAAATCCTATCACCCTCAACTCCATCAACCCTCGCTCCATTACAATCACTACCCCATGATTGATCAGCAGAAACAGGATTGGTACCCTTCCCTGATAAAAACTTTGAGTCCTTCCCTTTTCCGTCAGGGTCAAAATCAGGAAGGAGCTGTCCCTATGGCTTGAGATAGGCAGTCAGGGAAGGGACAGCACGCTCAGCCGGCAACGCTCTGCGAAGCCAGTCTTCCGTTAAATCCATCAGTTGGTGTCCAGTGAGACCTCTTTCAAGCTTAATCACACGCTGAGCATCCAAGTTCCTGAACACCAACAGGTCGTGCTCAAAATCTATGAGGGCACCTAACCGTCTGAGCGTCTCTATGCTCAAAAGCACTGGACTGCTTCCCGAGTCCAGCGCGTGGATTCGGAGCTCTCCAGGAGCTCCATTCGCGGAAATCCTCAGCTTCGCAGTGCTAAGGCATCGGTTCTCTGTACTATTCCCAAAGGAAAAACTGGGTGGATTCGATGAATCCACCCCGGAGAGTCCCGACTCACCATGTTTGAAGCGGTTGCGGTCCAAGATAGCCTCGATCGCCATCACACTGCCGATGGTCTGTGTGGCTCCACCGTCTATCACACACATGCCACGACGGACTGCCTCTGCAGTGGTGAGCTGCGGGTCCTTCGTCGTGGTTGTCCCGGTGGCATAGGCTTCCTCCGCGTAGCCCACAAAGCCCTGGTCCTTTTGCATGGTGGCCTGGTCATCGATCACCGCGTCCATGAAGCACACGAAGGGGGCTTGCTGAGGTTCTCCCGAGGCCTCGGCGGAGGCTGCGGTTGCTGTGGCCTTGTTGGGACAGTTTGCCACCCGGTGGCCCTTCTGTCCGCACCCCAGACATTCAATGTTCGAGTCATCTCGAACCCGATTGAAGCTTGAGGCTCCACCACGACCGCCTTTCCCGAAGCCTTGGTAGTAGCGGCGGTTCTGCTTGATCTGCTTCTGTTTGAAGCGTGCTTCACGAAGGGTTCGCTTTGCATCGTTCATTGCTGCCATGGCGTCCTGCACTTGTTGCTCCGCGTCCACAACAAGGGCGATCCCTTCCTCATTGAGTCCTCCCGCCGCAAGCTCCTCCGTGGTGTTCCCCTCCTCGTAGAACTCTTCCGTGTCGTCGAAGTCCTCGGCCATCTCGCCCAAGTAGCTCTGGAACCGGCGTCCTTGGTCACGTCGGCGAGTTTCGCCCTCAGGAAACTGATTCCTGAGCTCTTGCCCCACCTTTTGTGGGTGGAAGTTCCCACTCAGGGCCGTGACCACCAGGTTCCTTTCTCCATGGTCCAGGTTGGCGTCCATGAGGAGGTACCACCCTTGGATGAAGGTAGGCAACAGCTCACTTGTCCGGTTGCCCTCTGCTCCGCCACTGGTGGTAGTAGACGCCGTCCACGAAGACCAATCGTAGCGCCCTTGGTAGCCCTGGCCGTACCACGTAGACGACCAGCCCCAGTTGCCCCATGGGTTCCACTGAGTCTGCGAGTAGCTCCTCCAAGGGTCGTGGGGCTCCTCCTCGACCTCGGTGGGCCTCGTGGAGCCTTCCGCAGAGCCATCCTCGCCATCCTCAGTGGCCCGGAGCGGCGGTTCCTCCGCCTCCGGTCCTGGAGTCCACTGGCGGCTCCAGTCGCCACTGCTGCGCCGCTCGCTTGCCCATCCGGAAGATGCCGTAGGCGCCGTCGGTCTCGAAGCCGCTCCAGCCTCATAGTGGGGCTGAACCTTTGGAGGCTCTCCACTGCGCCTTTTTTGTACCTTTGAAGTACGTTGCCAGCAAATCCGTCACCTCGTTCACCCTGGGTTTTCCTAGGGCTCGTCTCAAATGGTCCATAAGGACCCGAACCCCTCCGCGATATGCCACCCAGCCCGCTGGTTGGCCTGACACAAGCCGTCTCGCAGCACCTGTGAGTTCCTGCATCAATCGCGGTCCTGCTGTGTATCTCTTCTCCCAGGTCAAGGACTGCTCCCATAAGAGAGCCGCCTCCTCGTAGGAAACAAATGAGCTTGCTTCCCCACTCCATGTTGGGATGCCATCCTTGGTCCTCGAGGTGGTAGTCGCGCCAGCTTCTGAAGCTGCTCCACTCATGATATCCCCGTTCTTCGGGGCCACACCCTGGATCGAATAACCAAGCCCGCGGTTCCCTTCGCGGGCTCCGCCACCGTGAGAGCGGTAGCAGCTGTAGCTATCAAAGGTCTAGCTCGTAGGCGCGGGAGCGACGGCCGACCAGCTTATGGCAAGGGCTCGGACTAGGCAGAGCTACAAACCCGGCTGGCAGGCCTCCAAGGCCCCTTTTGATCCGCACTGCAAGCTGCCGGCGCGAAGATCCTGAAAGCGTCAGAGAGACACAAGTTCTTTGAACTTTCAACCCCTAAACCCTAAACCCTAAACTAGACCCTGAACCCAGGCTCGGGTTGGCTCAACGACTGGGGTGCCGCGTTTATCTTTCGCGAGGAGGCACACTACGAGCTGCTGCGACAAGGGTTTAGGGCTAGGGTTTAGGGCTTAGGGTTTAGGGCTTAGGGTTTAGGGCTGTAGGGTTTAGGGTTTAGGGACACATTACCACACACAAGTGTGCATGTATGTAAGTATGAGTAACTGCGAGAGTTTACGCTAGGCCCTGAACCCTAAACCCCACACAGTAAACGCCAAAACCCCAATCCTGAATCGTAGAGTGGAAGCTAGACTGGTCAAAAGGGCCCTCGAAGGTTGGAAGGGCTTCGGCTGGCTTAAGCCTTCTTTGGGGTTTAGGGCCCCGAAACTTACCTTTGGTTGGTAGGGAATGGAAGAATGGTAGTAATAGTAATTGTAATTGTACCCCATTCCTCCATTCCCTACTAACCAAAGGTAAGTAAAGCCGAAGCTTGAAGCCTACCAGTTCTCCTCGAGTATCGGACACTTCCGCCATAAGCACTTGTTGTGCCAATATACCCCTGCATCGCCGTTTGGAGGACGAGCCTGAAATAGCTTCCTTGCGCCGCAAGCTGATCCAGGCCCGGCTTACGATTTAGGGTTTGGAAAAGATTTAACCCTAAACTCACATCATAAGTTTTTGAATATGTGGACCTGGCTGGCTTTTGGCTGTTGTGCGACAACACGATTGAGGCTGTGCTGTAAGTTGCTCTTCTTGAACTGTTCTTGCTGTTGTGCATGGTCTTCTTTCTGCGAGCTCTGTGAACGTCTTCGTGTTTTTAGCTTTTCTTGAAGTTTGAATGAAGCTGGCAACCCCTACGCTTCTTGCTGCCGCTTCTTTTGCTCCTTCTCCGATGATGTTGCAACAGCCGCTGCGGCTGTTGCTGTTGCTGTTCTTGTTACTGTTGCTCCGCTTGGTAATTCGTGTTGTTTTTCTAGCTCTTGGGTGGTGGCGGTTTGGAGGCAGCATACGGCAATGGTGGCGATCCAGTCCTGTGTCCTGTTCGTCTGCCGCACCCAGCATGCCACGGATCACCTGCATGTACTGCTCATGCTCTGAGAGCACGATGCCAGGCCTACAGCAACCTCACCCAGCAGGAGCGACGAGCAGCAAAGGCGTCGGGGCAGCAAAGCATGAGAAGGCTTTGACGAAGCAAATAGCCTTGACCCTAGACTTCACCATCACTGTCGTCAGGGTTCTGTTAGTAGTGTTATGACTGTTATGATGGATGTGTTTTTGAAGTACGGCCTGCCCTGACGATAGCAGACGACATCGTACAGCCACCTCCACCTGAGACTCCTTCGCAGCCGTGGGAGCAACCAGCTCCAAGCCCACTTCACGGGACGCTTTATCGCAGGGTGCTACGCACTATGACTATACTCAGCGGCTTCCAATCATGGCAGCACGATAGTAGGACTGCCTGATGCTGTAGCTGCTGCTGCCCGCTACCGCTGCCGCCGCTGCTCCTACGAACGACCATCACATTGAACAGTATCACCCAAAAGCCTAGGAGCACTTCATCATTCGTAGTAGTAGCTTGGGCCCAAGACCTGCTGGGGCACGGGCACTCGAAGACCATAACATGCACTGGTACACACCCGCTTGGAGGTTCATGGGTAGTTATAAGGAAGGGTTCCTTTAAGGCTCCCTTTAGAGGGATCTATACAGATTCCATAAGGGTATAGGGTTTAGGGTCTACTTGGAGGTTCATGGGCAGTACCCGCCTAAATTCAAATTCAACCCTTCAAAACAAGTACAATACTCCATAACACAATCCCTAACACAAAGCACCTCCCAAATCCCACACCGAAATCCAAACACAAAGCACCTCCCAACACTCATGTACCTCCAAGCGGTCTGCAGCGCCACCAGGCTTCGGCTCACAACAGAAAGCCGGCGAAGCATGGTGCCATGGCATCAGACTTCGATCGTTGAAGGTTTGGGCTTTGTGCGAGGGTGCACGGTTTTCGGGTCAGGATAGTTGCAGGGTTCGGGTTAAAGAAAAAGGCTGTACTATGCCGTAAGGCGTCGAGTTTGCAGCGTACCAGGTTCAAGGTTAGATTACATAACCACTTTTCAACGCACGTGATCATGTCGTTTCACAGCCCACAGCATCACGACGTAGTCAGTTAAATCGCCAACTTGAAGATTTGTCTGCAGCTTGGCGAGTTCATGTGGCAGAGGCAATCCTGCTATCAGCTATCAGGGGGAGCAGCACGCTATCTACGAAAAACGAATCAGAAAGGAGCACCCCAATCCTTATCCCGAAACCTTCAGCGGCCTGATCAACGAAGGCTTTTCGCTCGCCGAGAGTGAGGAGTTCGTTTGGCCGATGCCGGTGTCTGCGAAGAACTAGGGAGAACCGCATAGTTGATGTTTGCTCAAGCGCAGGGTCATAGTCATGCTACACGGACAATTAATAATTGAAAGAGCGAGCCTGCCCCAAAGGACACACCAAGATGGACCGGGCATGTTAGGTGATTTGCAGAGCTTTAAGACTCTGGTTACTTGCGTTGGCACGGAATGTATTATAGTTTCCCTGAGCTCTGGGATCATTGAACCCAAATAGTTGAAGCGCTTCAATCGGTCATCAGCCAAACGAGCCGAACCAGAAGCCTTGCACCTGCTTGCCTTCCATCCCAGGGCAAGCAAAGCTCCCAACTGCTGCGCAGCGAAACACCACGGGCGAAGCAAAGAAGGCTCGCTGGTCTTGCCAAAGAACATCGGCACTCAACCCCGTCGTCAAAATTGCGGTCGTCGTAGTCGGTGCCTGGTAGTGGAAGGCTGATTGTCAGCGCGGTCGGTCGCGGCGGTGGTAGTGGTAGCAGCAGTTTAGCGGTAGTAGCAGGAGTAGCCGCAGCAGTAGTGGTAGTAGTACGGCGACAGCGCCGGTCAAGAAACTGTTAATTTTTCGTGAGGGGGGCTCGATTTCGTATTTTTGAAGCGCACCATGTTTCAAAAAGATGTGTCGAGATTTGAGGGTACCCTGGATTATTAACCCAAATTTCTTAATTTGAAACAGCAGCATATACAAACAAATTCAAGAAATGAGAACACAGAAGGATTCCAGCTCACAGCACTTTCCTTTTCAGCTCATGTGCTTATCCACTCGGGCATGGCGTCGTTCAGACTCCTGAAACGCCACGATATTGATCCCTTTTTACACAGCTTGCAATCAGCCCTTACCGGAACCCCCCAAAGCTTAAGTTAAGCCCTTATTAACCCTTACAAAGCTTCAAAGCCCTCCAAAGCTGTTATTAAGGCCGTATTAAGCCCTTATTAAATTAGGCAAGCCCAGAACCCCCAAAATAAGATATCGAGCCCCTCAATTTCTCAAATTTAAAAAAATCGAGCCCATCAAGTTCTTATTTTGGTGTTTTTTCCTATATGGCCCTCCAAAGCTGTGAATAAGGCCTTAAGTTGGTTTTCTCATTTTGAAGGGTTCTGGGCTTGCCTAATAAGGCCTTAATAGCAGCTTAGGAGGGTTTTGGAGGCTTTGTAAGGGCTTGAACAGCGCTTAGCTTAAGCTTTGCCATTTGAGGGGCTCGATTTCTTACTTTGGGGGGTTCCGGTAAGGGCTGATTACAAGCTGTGTAAAAAATGGGATCCATACGATGGCGTTTCAAGAGTCTGAACGATGCCATGCCCGAGTGGATAAGCACATAAGCCGGAATGGAAAGTGCTGTGAGCTGGAATCCTCCTGTGCGCTCGTTTCTTGGTTTTCTTTGTAAGGGTTTGGCGCCGAGCTTTTGGAATACGAAATCTACTCCCTGAGTTGCTTGGTTTACTTTTTTGTAAGAACAACACCAGCGAAGACAAAATGAGAAAGAGCAAAATAAGAAATCTGCACGCCGAGTCCAGGGTACCCTGGATGTCTTATTTTGAGTGCGTGCATTTTATGTATATAGGTTTTGGTCGCACGGGTGTCCGAGGGGCTCAATGTCTTAAACCAATGATTTCTTAAGCAGAGTAGTAATAGTGGTAGTAGTAGTAGTAGTAGTAGTTGTTGTTGTGGTAGTAGTAGTAGTAGTAGTAGTAGTAGTAGTAGTAGTAGTGGTGGTGGTGGTGGTGGTGGTAGTAGTAGTAGTAGTGGTAGTAGTAGTACTAGTACTAGTGGCACTAGCAGTTGGAAGAAGAAGTGGTTGCAGCGGGCAGCCGGCAGTGCCATATCGATGCATCCCTCACTTGTCGGTCGATGCCAGCCAACCCCAAAATGGAACTGGGGCTCATCCTACTTGCGGAGCTGAATTATTGCAGCAATCCATCAGGAAATCAGGGTTTCAGGAGATACGAGACCGAACCCGAAGTTCGAAACTCGAAACCCAGGCTCAATCAATAAACCCTGTACTTTGACCCACAACTCTGTGCAAGGAGGAAGGCTTCACTCGCGGTGGCTTCTGATGGAGAGTTCTTGGGCCTGCCGCCGCAAGCCGAGGTACCGAGGGCAATTATTGGATTTAGGGTTTGGGGATACACTTGATGTCGCACTATTCCTGAAGACGTCTTCAGATCCGGGCTTCCTCTTGAGAGACCTGGAGCGAGGTGCCGCGTGGGATATTCTGGTTTGATCTCTGTTCTCATAGGTTGATCAGGCTTGCTGCGTTTTTGTTGTTGACTCTCTGAGTCTAGGCACATCGGCGGACCCCACTTCTCTTCATGCATAGCTATAAAGGCT